TTTGGCTGTGGACGCCCTTCAGGACTGCCTTCTTGGCCTTCAATGCCTTTGCTTTGGCTTCAGTTTTGGGAGGGGCAGGGGCTTCCTTCTTCGCTTTCGGCGCCATCTTCGTAGAAAGGGTCAGTGACTCGTTTTATAGCAGGTTACTAGGCCTTACCTACATGGATCTTCTGGGTAGACTCAAAGTGTCAGCTTGTCATTATTATTATAAATGTAGAGAATAATGAAAGATGCTGTTGACTCTTATTCTGGGACAACATAGAAGGAAAGTGACCTTATTCATGAAAATTTTGACCAGGAGGGCATTTCCACATCACAGATAGATAAGCCACCACCACACCTGTGGATGGTCCTGGTAGCATTATGCAGAGATGGGAAATCTTCCCTATTGGGAAGCCAGCAGGCCCAGCCTACCCCGCAACAATCCCAGACGAGGCTCAGGCCTATGTCCTCCTGGTGGTAAAGGTGAGTATTCACTCTATCTAAGGGGAGACAGACAGACAGAGGAGGCAGAAGTGGCCAGGGTCCAGCCCAGTGCCCCCAGACAGGTTGGAGGGCGAAGGCAGGACTTATCCAGACACACTGTGGATAGGGCAGGGGGCAGGACTTACCTAGGCACACTGTGGACAGGGCAGACGCAAGACTTACCCGGGCACACTGTGGACAGGGTGAGGTTCGTAGTGATACCGTCCCTCCTGGTGACGCATGTCAATTGGCAAGGGGGCAGGGAGCGATGGCAGGAGGTGCTGAGGCACTGCAAGGGGACAGAGAGACAGGACTTGAGCATCTCTCCCCTTCCTCGTAAAGCCTTTTCCACAGTACTTTCATGCTGGATGTCTTTCAGAGCCAGAGCAGCCCAGGATGAGGCTCCCTGGTCCAGCAATATCACACACCCACAGAGGGGATAAATAAATAATCAAAGTCGTCCCAAGAAATCCTACATCTTTCACATAAAAGATCGCCAGCCGTGCTCTTGACAAAGACAAGCAGCTAAGCGCTCTTTGAACTCATGCAGATTATAGTCAGGGCGGCGGGAGACCAGAGGTGCAGGCAAATCCAAGCTGACAGCACCTGCAGGCGCCCACTCGCCAGCCCTTGCCCAGCCGGCCCCTGCCCAGGAGCGGGGAGTCAGCACTCAGCGCGGCTGGGCAGGCATCAAGAACCACTGTGAGGCCCAACCACGCCGCGCTACCCAACCCACCGTACTGACAGCATGGAGCAGACCTCCAAAGAACAGCTAATTCTCCAGTTCTCATCATTAATTATTGACCCACACATGTTGGCCAGGTGGGATGAAGACGAAACACGTGACGGACGGTGTACAAACCGCTCTGGCCCACTGTCTGCACTTAGCCTGCTCTCGACAAATCATCATAATTGTAGGATGCTCTTTGCTTATTAAAAAAAACATTCCTGGATGCCCCAGAGGCAAATGTAATTATAGGCTTTTGGAGAACAAGGCTCTTTAAAAAGCAGTTAGACTGGGAAAAGGATTTGAGAAGCAGAGCTTCTCAGTCAGGCTGCTGGCCACAGGCCAGCGGGAATCAGTGTTGAGTCTGAGTTTCTCAGAATGAGCAAGAGAGCTCTCCACGCAGGTCAGCTGACTGCAGGGCTTTCCAAAGCATGGACATGGCACTGTTAGCTGCTTCTGTGCAGTCAACAGACACGGGAATCTTTAACTCCTTCTTTGAAAATCAGTTGCCCACAGCCAGCTGGGTTTAATTCCGGGCTCTCAGTTCTCCCCAAAGGCCTGCTGTTCACCACTGAACCACGCTGTTATGATGACCATAGCCACAGAGCATGTGTCAACAATGGGGAGAGTAAGGCATCCTGTGTGTTTTTCATCGTATTGCTTTGGCTATTTGGGGTTTCTTTCCTTTCCACTGAAATTGAAAGAATGGTGTTGGAATTTGTACCAAATTGTACTGAATTTATAAATCACTTTAGGTAGCATTAATAATTTTACTAAACTAAAGAGAAACAATGCCAGTCTGGAGACTAAGATGCACCTAATTCAGGCCACGGTCTTAGCAATTATATGCTATGTATTAGAAACCTGGACAATGAACTAGGGATGACAGAAGGAGAATTGATGCCTTGAGCTGTAGTGCTGGAGAAGAGTACTGGATATACCATGGACTGCTAGGAGAACAAACAGGTTCATCCTAGAGAGGGTGAGACCAGGCTGCTCCTTGGAGGCAAGGATTCTGAAGCTTTGTCTGACATACTTTGGGCCTGTTTTAATGAGGGATCAGTCCTTGGAGGGGGACATCATGCTTGGGAGGGTGGAGGGACAGTACAAGAGAGGAAGACCCTCAATGAGATGGATTGATTCAGTTACTGGGGTTCCTTGCAATGGTGCTAAATTTTCTACAAGTTCCAGCTGTTTCCATGTGGAACTTGTAGGGCCTATTATGTACGTATATTCTATTTCATTTGAATTTCAATATCATCTTAAGAATAGGTTTAGGGCATTGAACATCAATGATCAAAAATCAAATGACTTGTGGGATGATATCAAAGATATCATCCATGAAGAAAGCAAAAGGTCATTACAAAGACAGAGGAGAAAGAAAAAACTGAAATGGATGTCAGAAAAGCCTCTGAAAATTGCACTAGAGCGTCTAGAAACAAAAACAAAGGGGAAAATATGTAGAAGTAAAAGAGCTGAACAGAAAATTTCAAAGGGCATCTCAAAAGGACAAAACAAAGTAGTATAATGGAATGTGTAGAGAGCTGGAATTGGAGAAATAAAAAAGGAAGAACTCTGCATTTCTGAAGCTGAGAGAACGGAAAAACAAATTTAAGCCTCGAGTTGCAAAACTGAAAGATGCTATGGGCAATATACTGAATGATCCAAAGAACATCAAAAGAAGTTGAAAAGAATACACAGAATCACTGTACCAGAAAGAACTGATTGACACTGAAAAATTTCAGAAAGTACCATATGAGTAGGAGCCAATGGTAATGAAGGAGGAAGTGGAAGTTGAATTGAAGACATTGGCAAAAAATAAAACCCCAGGAATGGATAGGATACCAAGTGACTTGTTTCAATTAACAGACTTGGACGCACTCACCAGTCTATGCCAGGATGGCTCTCTGGTGAACGGATTGGATGAAGTTCATATTTGTTCCCATATAGGAACTATCACACAATATCATTAATATCACATGCAAGCAAAATACTGCTGAAGAGCATTAAAAAATGGTTAGAACAGTACACAGATTAGGAACTACCAGAAGTTCAAGAAGAATTTGGAAGAGGCCATGGCACCAGGGATATTACTGCTGATGTCAGAAGGATTGTAGCTGAAAGTAAAGAATGCCATTACAATGTCTGTACTTTATTGACTATGCAAAGGCATCTGACTATGTGGATCATAACATGTTGTTGCTGACAATGAGAAGAAAGGGAATCCCAGAGCATTTAAATGTGCTCATGTGAAACCTATACCTGGACCAGGAGGCTGTTGTGCGAACAAAGCAGGTAAACACTGCATGGCTTAAAATTAAGAAGGGAATCTGTCAGGGTTATAGTCTCTCTCCATACCTACTCAATCTGTATGCTGAGCAAATTATTCAAGAAGCTTGACTCTCAAGAAGCTTGACTCTCTGAAGAGAAATGTGGTATCAGGATCAGGAGACTCATCAATAATCTTCATTATGCAGAGGACACAACCTTCCCTGCTCAAAGTGAGGAGGACTTGAAGCACTTGTTGCAGTCTTTGGTATGGAATGGATCTCAATGTCAAGAAAACAAAGACTCTTACCACTGGAACGATGGGCAACATCATGGTGGATGGAGAAGAGATTGGAACTATCAACAATTTCACCTTACTTGGATCCATAATTAACACACTTGGTACTTAGCAGTCAGGAAATTAGAAGATGTATTGCACTGGGAAAGTCTGCAGTTAGGACTTCTCCAAATTATTGAGGAGTAATGATGTTTGAGGACTAAGGTATGTCTGATTCAGGCCATGGTCTTTTTGTTCACTTGCTATGCATCTAAGAGTAGACAATAAATAGGGATGACAAAAGAAGAGCCTTTGAGCTGTGGTGTTGGAGAAGAGCATTGAACAACCCATGAACTGCCAAAAGAACAAACAGGTATGTCTTGGAGAGGGCGTACCCGGAGTGCTCTTTGGAGGCAAGAATGACGAGGCTTTGCTTCACATACTTTGGACATGTTGCAAGGAGAGGGACGTCTCACATGTTGCTTGGAGAGGGACATGATGCTAGGAAGGATGGAGGGTCAGCAAAGGAGAGGAAAACCCTCAACTAGGTTGACTGACATGGTGACTGGCACAACGGGCTCTTGTGTCAGAAAGTGTGAGGATGGCACAGGATGAGGTTCAGTTGTCCATAGGATCACTAGGAGGCATACTCAACTTGATGGAACCTCACAACAACAACAACGTACATATATAATCATGTCATCTACAAATACAGTTTCACTTCTTCCTTTCTAATTTGGATACATTTAATTTCTTTTGTTTTACTGTTTCGACCAGAATTTCTAACACATGTTGAATTAAGAGTCAGTATAGTGCTCCCCAGTGCCTCCTAAATTAGGTAATAATTTAGAAAATCATTGTTCCTGCATGCTGCATAGTATTCCATTGTATGAATGTACCATAATTTTTCCAATTCAGTCCCACAGGGACAAATATTGAATAAAACCATTATTGTAGAATGAGGATCCAAGGGGGCAGGGAGAGTGGAAGTGGAGGGATGAGGATGTGTGGGGGTGGGAGTGTGTGTTAATCATAGGGTTTTACAATTTGATGGGTGGGGGTGTGAGGGAAATTGGAAGAATCTGGTGTGAAAACAATGTATTTGAATTTTGTAAATAAACTACTATAAATTGGAAGTCTTAGCAATAGCAATAAGACAAGAGAAGGGAATAAAAGGTATCCAAATAGGCAACGAGGAGGTAAAATTATCCCTCTATGCTGATGACA